AGGGAAAATCCCTACAGAAGGGTGACCTTCACCCCTTTACCAGAGGTCTTTGGGGGAGCACACCCTTCACCTCCTTGCTATGCCCTTGTTATAATGCTTCAACTCCTATATTATTTCCTCCTTTCTAATAGTTACTCCTTATATCTAATTCTATGTTCCCAACTTATATTTATTTATTTTAATTGCTCTCCACATAACGTAATATGCCATTGTCAAGTCCCGAGACCCACTGTCCCCTTCAAACTCCTCCGTCTGTTTGCTTAGTAACTGCGTCCAAAAGTTTTTTGCCCGTGGTCTCATTGTAAGCGGTGAGAGTTTTTCCATTTAGAGTGATCACTAGGTGGTCGAGTGGAAGCCATCTATACTGAATTTCAAGGTCTCTCAATGCCGTCGCTATTTCTCGTAGTCTGCGTCTTGCTATGAGAACCTCTGCTGGAATGTCGGCGTATTAAAAAATGATGGTATCCTCAAGAGGTAAACCCTGCTTTTCCCTTGCAATTTTAAAAAGTTTGTTTTTTGTCTGTACCTCTTTGAATTTGATTGCAATGTCTGGGGAGGCTTCTGCAGGAGCTCTTTTAGAAATGTTCAGCCGGAAGGCTGAGATAATAATATCTTCAGAAGTCCCTGCTTCCCCAGCTGTGAGGAGAGTCTGTTGCAGCCATTTATTTAAAGAAGCAGTGAGGTTTCCTGCTGTGCTGAAACTTGTTGACACTCCTCTAAGTTTGGCTTTCCTTTCTCTTAGTTTAGTTTCCTGTAGTATGATTTTATTTTTCATCCATGCCTCAAACTCTTTCAAGTCTTTCATCTCATCTGCTACTTTTCTAGCTGTCTGGTGTGCAGCTTCAGCCTTCCTTTCCGTTGACTTTAGTGCAGCGGTGAGCTCGTCCAGGTTCTTATTTATTGGTTCAGTTATATGTTTTAACTGTCCAAACTCTTTCTTTAATTGCCCAACATCACCACACAGAGTCTTTATTTCACTCTTAATTTCTTCTTTTATCTCTGACAAAGCATGCATAATCGTTATCTGGTAGCTTTGATCAGGCTCGCGTGCCATCCCCCCCGCAGATAAATCTCCTGCTCTGAATCCTCAGAGTCTGTGTTAATCTTCCTTGGAGGTCTTTGGGGGTGGTGGTGTCTTGGCTCCCTTCTTTCCTATAGTCTTTCCCATTTGTTGTTGTTCAGTTGCACAGTCGAGTCCGACTCTTCGTGACCCCATGGACCAGATCACGCCAGGCCTTCCTGTCTTCCGCCGTCCTCTGAAGTTTGCTCAACTTCATGCCCGTTGCATCTATGACACTGTCTAACCATCTCATCCTTTGCCGTCCCCGTCTTCTTTGACCTTCGGTCTTTCCCAGCATCAGGGTCTTCTCCAGGGAGTGCTCCCTTCTCATTGGGTGGCCAAAGTATTTGAGCTTCAGTTTCATTATCTGGCCTTCCAGGGAACAGTCAGGGTTGATTTCTTTTAGGACTGACTGATTTGATCTTGCAGTCCAAGGGACTCTCAAGAGTCTTCTCCAGCACCATAGTTCAAAAGAATCTATTCTTCGGTGCTCGGCCTCCCTTATAGTCCAACTCTCGCAGCCATACATGACTACTGGGAATACCATTGCTTTGACCATGTGGACTTTTGTTGGCAGGGTGATGTCTCTACTTTTTATCATGCAGTTTAGGTTCCTGGCATTGAAGTTTGTGTCAGCCTTGGTTTTGTTTGGAGAGCAAAATTGTTGTTCTTCAGTGGGAGTAGCAGGAGCCTCGAAGGGATGCAGCCAGCCGGAAGCTCAGCTACGCCCCCCCCCCCACTTTTAAAATCCTGATGCAAAATTGACTGGTGGTGGTTAAACTGAATGAAGGGAATGTGTGTGTACCTGACAAGGATGTTCTAATCACACACTCTGTGGTTTACAGAATGATTTATTTAACTTTCGGCTTATATACCGCTCAAACCCCAAAGGGTCTCTGAGCGGTTTACATATGATTTATAATACCTATCTAGTAAAGGTAAAGGTTCCCTTACTCGAAAGCCAGTCGAATCCGACTCTAGGGTTGCGGTGCTCATCTAGGGCCACATTAAAAGGGGAAGTGACTGCCTACCAGCGCCCAGGCAGCAGAGCGGGCTCTTGTTGTTGTTCGGCTCTTATTCCGGCGGGCTTTGGGTGTTGATGGTTTTTTCCGGCGTTCTTCCTGGCGCCTTGGAGCTGGTCTTAGTTCAGCGGCTTCCTCTGGCGGCCTCCTCCTAATGCGCGGCCACACGCCGGCCGCAGCCTCAGCTCCCATCCTGCTGACTCCGCCGAGCCGCCGTACCTCCATAACTCCGCCTCTGTCCAGGCTCCGCCGCTCGCTCGTGCTCACTGGGTTGCCAGGGCCGCCCCGCCGTCGCCGCTGTTGCCGCCTGCTGCACGCCCCCGCAAGGAGGAGGGTGCCTCCTGCCACCTAGGGCAGGTACCCAATTTATCTACTCGCAATTATGCTTTACGCTTTCCAGCCGCTGGGTGGGCAGGAGCTGGGACTAGGACCGGGGGCTCACCCCGGCCGTGGTGGGTCTCGAACAGCCTTAATGGCTGTTCACTTGATGTTACAGCAGGTGTTTTACTGCCCACGCCACCGTTACAGACAGAACGCCTTGATTTAGAAAAGTGCCTCTCTCCCAACACGGCTGCTGTTGGGGTGGCCACAGCCTCCAGGTCGGGCCTGGAGATCTCCCGCTCTGACAGCTGACCTCCCCGGGAGAAAGTGATGGGCACTGCCGAGGCCCCGCCCCTCCCGGACCCCCCCCCAAAGTCTCCCGGTGCCCCCCCCCCCCAAGCGAGCCAAGCGCTGCCTCCACTCGCTGCCCCCGCCCCCTTTCCCGCCTCACGACTCCAGGTGGCGTTTCCGGTGGCGCCGCTCTAGGCCTGGTCGTCGCCGGCGGAGGCCGGAAGTGCCGCTGAGGCGCATCGGCGGGGATCTCGGTCCCTGTCGCACGAACTTCCGACGAAGGCGGAGTTGGAGGCCCCCCGGCCCACTCTTCCGAAGCCGCTGGGGAGGGGGGGGGCTGCCGCCTGGGCCTCGTCGCGCCGGAAATTGCTTGGGGGGGCGTGGTCCGGCGGCGCCCGGAAGTGTCGCACTCGGGCGGTGGCGTGTGGGTAGGCGGCGCTGGTGGCGCCTGCGCGTTGGGCTTCTCTGTGCGGGAAGATGGTGCTCATCAAGGAGTTGTAAGTGGAGGGGGAGGGGAAGGGCCGCCCCCCCGCCCGGCCCCGGCCTCGGCCTCACGCGCTCTCTTCTCTCCCTCTCGCCCTTTTGCAGCCGCGTGGTCCTGCCCTGCTCCGTGCAAGAGGTGGGTGCCTCCCTCGCCCGGCGGGACCTGCCCCCGGATCAGCGCCCCCGACCGAAGGAATGAAACGGGGGGAGAAGGGGCGGGGGCCCGGCCCACAACCCCGCAGCTCACAGGGTGGGGTTGGGGGCGCGGAGACGGTCAGCCCTGGGGTGGGGAAAGAACCCCCATTGAAGCAGGGACCGGCGGATGGATGCAGACAGCGGGACGGCCTCGAAACCAACACCACAGCCAGCAGCTGTCCTAAGGGGGGGAAGAAAGCAGTACAAAATAAAAGCGCTAGGTTTTCCCACTGATGCTATACATTGCTTTTTTCCCTAGTATCAAGTTGGGCAGCTTTATTCTGTGGCTGAAGCCAGTAAAAATGAAACTGGTGGTGGTGAAGGGATCCAGGTTCTCAAGAACGAGCCTTATGAGAAGGATGGCGAGACGGGCCAGTATACCCATAAGATCTACCACCTGAAGAGGTATGGCGGCCCTGAGACTTCCTTGCATGCAGCACAGGGGTGGGGGGGGGGCTCCTCCTCCTCCTCCTCCATTATACCTGGGACCCAAAAGGGCTGAAGCTTCAACTTCCAGTGACAGTCTTGGCCCATCAGCTGAAGCCCTGGCCCTCCTCATTGTATTGCCTCTTTTCTTGCTGTTTTTGCCTAGCATTTGATGTGTGCAGAGATTCACAGGTGATACCGTAGGTGTCAGGGAGAAGGGGTTGCCAGCAGTCCCGAAGACTGCTGGGTGCTGGTGGAAGGTAAAAAAGCAACCACCTCTCTTTAAGGAGTGATAGGTAGAATACTTCAAGGTGTGAGATTATGGGAATTGGGGCTTTCAGCCTGAAGAGCTGGGGGGCTGTTTAGAGGCCACCGGTTTCTCCAGTGCCTGATCTGGAAACTTTGCTTTAGCCAGCTCCCTTATGGGGGGGGGGTGTTTTGCTGCTTGAGCCTACGGAGGCAGAGCACACTTTGGTTGTGCCTTCCTTTTCAGAATCCTTCTTCAGAGGCTTCTTTCTTTTTACAGATTCTAGATAATTCAGTTCAGTGGAGGAGGGGCACAACTGCTTGTTGGCTAGAGTAGAAATGTCTGTTCTATGGTAGGTGGTGTGTCCTTGAAAGCTGCCCAGATTACGTTGCAGCTGCCTCCTTTAACTTCTGGTGAGAAACATCTCCTTGGGAAGAATGTTAAAAAGGGAAATGGAACTCTTGTCGCGAGACCTACTGTCCTAACTTTTGCCTTCAATTCTTTGCAGCAAGGTCCCTGGTTTTGTGCGAATGATTGCTCCCGAAGGCTCACTGGTCTTCCATGAAAAGGCCTGGAACGCGTACCCGTACTGCCGGACAAGTGAGTGTCCCTGGCTGCCCAGTGGTTGGAGGCCAAGGGCCGGTGCAGTGCCTCCAGCTGTACAGGCTTCTGTGCAGTCATTTGAACATCAGGCTTTGGCAGGGGCAGTGCTTGCTGTAGCCTGTTCCTGAACCATGTTCTTAGCACCCAGATGAATTCCTGCAGGCTGCGGTTCTCTTGGCCCTGAGCATTTGCAGCCCACCCCTGGTGCGCCTGTGATCTGGGGATGGTGGCTTCCAGCTGGCAAGGCGCACACCTCACCTGGCGTAGGAGTGTACTATAGACATCCCATGTGGCTGAAGGAGTGAGAGTACCAGAGAACAGGGCCTGGGCTGGTGCTGCAGCCAGGGACTTGCCTGGGGGCTGGGCATCCCAGCAGCTTGAGTGAGAAGAACATTCTGTCTCCCTCCACCCCATGTGCATTGCCCGTACATGCAGCCCGTGGGGCAGCACCTCTGGTGTTTTGAGTAGGGTTATACGAGCTTGTTTCTAGAGGGGAATCCAATTTCAGTTTCTGTCCTTGGTTGACGGTTCCCATTCTCTCTCTCTCTCTCTGTATGTATTCCCGGGCTTCAGTTGTGACGGTGAGTACAGCTGTTTTGCTCTCGGAACAGCATTTAACTTTTGGCAGTTCTGAAATGTTTCATTCTGTGCGTTTGCGAGGTGGTTGGCAGGGTGGTACCTCTAGGGTGAAGGGGGGGGGGCTGGGTTTCCAGGCTGAATGGCTGCCGGGGCACATGCAGCAAGGAGAGAGAAGGGGCTTCCGGCCATGCTGTGAGTCTGGCCCCGGGTCTGTCTGGCCTCCAGCAGCCTGAGGTCTGGGCACGTGAACAGCAGGGAAGGGACCGAAGGGCCCAGTTCTTGGGGTGGATGTCCTGGACAGAGTCCCTGCCTGCTTCCCAGGAGACCTGGAGAATTACGGACCAATGGGGAGATGTTCTGGAGCACGCAGGGCCAGGCATTCTTGTTGTGTTCACCCTTTGGGTGACGAAAGGGCAGATTCCCCCCCCCCCCCCCCCTCCCGGTGGGGGGCCGGTGGGAGGTGTCGTTTGCTTCAGTGGGTTGGGGGGGGACTGATTGTTCTTTTGCACTCCAAGCTGGGGGGAGGGGCTTGCTTGGTTTACAGGCCTTGAACCTGTCTGGCCGCAGGTGAAGCTGCCGCTCCTCTCAGTTTTACCATGCCTGAGCAATGCTGGACACACACACACACCCCAAACACACGCACAGCTCACACCCTGCAGCTGCCAGCACCCCTACCCAGCCGCTGAACCCTTCAGCCAGGCTGGCTCCAGTGTCAGAGCCTGCCCAGAGCAGGGAGAGGATGAAGACTGGGTGGGGGCGGACTGATCAGGAGGGGGGGAGGGTCAGTCCCCACCACCCTCTGCTAATTCTCCCCACCCCACGAGAGAGGTTGGGGCCCAAGTCTGCCCCCTAAGGCGTCACCCTGCCCCTCGGTGTCCCTTGGGGCCAGAAGTGATATTTGAAATGGTTTATGGAGGAGTTTGCCTCGTTTGTTTCAGAACGAATACATGAAGGAGGATTTCTTCATCAAGATTGAGACGTGGCACAAGTCAGACCTGGGGAGTTCGGACAACGTAGGTTGGCGAGTGGGCTGGGCTGTTTGCGCGGCCTGCTGCTGCTGCTTGGCACCCTCGGCAGCTGGTCAGCACAGTGGAGGCACGCTCCTTCTCCTCCGGGGGCAGTGGTGGCCTTTGCGAGCCGTGCACGGGGAGACACACCCCCCACACCCCCGGGGCATTGGGATCCAAGGGGCCCCTGGCTCTGTAAGAGCCAGTTTGGTGTCATGGTTAAGTGTGTGGACTCTAATCTGGGAGAACTAGGTTTGATTCCCCACTCCTCCACATGCACCTGCTGGATGACCTTGGGCAAGCCGTAGTTCTGTCAGAGCTGTCCTTGAAAAAGAGCAGTTCCTGTCAGAGCTCTCTCAGCCCCACCTCTACCCCACAGGGTGTCCGTTGTGGGGAGGGGAAGGGAAAGGAGATTGTCATCCGCACTGAGGCTCCTTTGGATAGTGAAGGGCCATGCGGTATGAATCCAATCTCTTCCTCCTCCTCTCTGTGCTGGTTGGGTTGAGGGGCTTGAGGCCGCCCTCCCCTCCCGGGATGCCTTCTCTGGGGAT